GATGATCAGCCCTCAAAAAGACACATATTAGAAAAATTCATTGGGGGGTTGAAAGATGAGCTAAGGTATGAGGTGGCTGTTGTCAGGCCCTCTTCCTTAAATGGAGCTGTGTCATTAGCCAAACTGTTTGAGGAGAAGCAAAAAAATGAAAAAAGAAGTAAAGGGAATTCGAATGTAATCAATCAAGGGAATATTTCAAATCGTGCCTCTCATGACTTACCTGTACAAGAAAAAAACAAATCTTCTTCTCAGTTCAGGAAGCTAACACCCGAGGAGATACAAAGGAGGAGGAATCAAAACCTTTGCTTTACTTGTGAAGAAAAATGGAATAGAGGGCATCAATGCAAAGGGAAACACATCTTCATCTTGGAAGGGATCTTAGAAGGAGGTACTGAAGAAGATGTAGATGATTCTGAAAAAGATGAACAAGAAGACATGACTGTGGAGTTGGCTGAAAGTTTAGTAAGGGGAGCCCCCTCCATCTCAGTGCAAGCTCTCAGTGGAATTTCAGCCTCTCACACAATTAGAGTTGTGGGATACTATAAGAATCAAGCTATCAGTATTCTGATAGATTCTGGCTCCACACACAATTTCATCAATGCTAAGTTAGTAAAGAAACTTGGATTACCAGTGACAGAGTATAAAGATTTCAATGTTCTTGTAGCTAGTGGAGAATTCATTAAAGGAGCTGGATTATGCCAGGGGGTTTCATTGGATTGTTAGGGAGTGAATATCCAAGTTAATTTGTTGGTAATGCCTATGGGGGGAAGTCAGGTGGTGTTAGGAGCTGATTGGATGAAAACTTTGGAAGACATTACCCTAAACTTCAAGAAATGAAGTCAGGTGGTGTTAGGAGCTGATTGGATGAAAACTTTGGAAGACATTACCCTAAACTTCAAGAAATTGCAAGTAACCTTCCTATGTGATGGAATCAAAAGAACATTACAGGGGATATTACCAGGAGAATCACAATTGCAAGTAACCTTCCTATGTGATGGAATCAAAAGAACATTACAGGGGATATTACCAGGAGAATCACAACTTGTGAATGAGAAAAACATTGCTAAGTCTGTTAGAGAGCAGGAAGAAGGATACTTAATCCAATTATGCAGTGTCAATTTGCAGGAAGTTACTACAGCTATTAATCATGAAAGGTTACCTGAAGATATGCACAGGTTGATACAAGAATTTGCTGTTATTTTCCAAGAACTGCCACACCTTCCTCCTACAAGAGCCATTGAAAACCAGTTTGTATCAGACCTTACAGACATGCACACTTCCTAAAAGAGGAGATTGAAAAACAAATTGAGGACATGCTGAACAAAGGAATCATTAGGCCTAGCCATAGTCCTTTTTCCTCTCCTGTAGTTATGGTTAAAAAATCAGATGGGAGCTGGAGGATGTGTATAGACTATAGGTCATTGAACAAAGCAACTATCAAAGATAAAAAATCAGATGGGAGCTGGAGGATGTGTATAGACTATAGGTCATTGAACAAAGCAACTATCAAAGATAAGTTCCCTATCCCAGTTATAGATGAATTGCTAGATGAACTTCATGGGACACAGTTTTTTACCAAACTGGACTTAAAATCTGGGTACCATCAAATTAGAATGTATGAGGCTGACATATACAAGACTGCTTTCAGAACTCATAGTGGCCATTTTGAGTTTTTAGTAATGCCATTTGGTCTTACAAATGCTCCCTCCACATTTCAAGCTCTTATGGATACAATTTTCAAAAGTTTACTTAGAAAATCTGTATTGGTCTTTTTTTATGACATTTTAGTATACATCAAAGGGTGGCAGGACCATTTAAGGGATTTGAAACAAGTATTTCAGATTATGAAGAACCATGAATTAGTTGCTAAGATGACCAAATGCAGTTTTGGACAGAAGCAAGTTGAGTATCTGGGTCACATTGTGTCACAAGAAGGGGTTAGTGTAGATCCAAACAAGATTCAAGCTATCACTGAGTGGCCTGTACCTAAATCATTGAAAGGGTTGAGAGGATTCCTGGGTATTGCAGGATACTACAGGAAGTTTATCAAGAACTTTGGAACCATAGCTCAGCCTCTCACACATCTTTTGAAGAAGGGAAATTTTGCTTGGAGTACAAATGCTGAAATTGCATTTAAAGCTTTGAAAGTGGCACTAACCAACTCCCCAGTTCTAGCAATGCCTGATTTCAACATTAAATTTGTGATTGAATGTGATGCATCTGAGACTGGAATTGGGGCTGTGTTGATGCAACAAGAGAGACCCATAGCTTATTTCAGTTTTGCCTTGAAGGGAAAAAATGCTACACTGTCAACCTATGAGAAAGAGTTATTAGCTATCATTCTTTCTACAAAAAAATGGCAACAATATTTGCTTGGAAGAAGCTTTATAATAAGAACTGATCATCAAAGTCTTAAGTATCTATTAGAGCAAAGAATCCACACAGGAGTTCAAAACAAGTGGCTGGCAAAACTTCATGGTTATGACTACACTGTTGAATACATACCAGGAAGGATGAACAAGGCTGCAGATGGGTTGTCCAGGATATATGAAGATGCAGTGGAAATCTCAGCCATCTCTACTGTCAGTTGTGATTGGTTGAAGGAGATAAAAATAATGTGCTCTGAAGATGATTTCTTCAAGGAAATTGATGATAAGTTGCAACAGGGACACCTCAATTCTGAGGAGTATTCTAAGAGAGAAGGAGTTTACTACTACAAGGGCAGAATTTTACTTAGTCCTAGTGCTCAAGGCTTGAAGACTTCCTTATTAAAAAATGAACACCATAATAGTCCTTCTGCTGGACATTCTGGAATTACCAGAACTTTACACAGATTGAGGAGGTCTTTTTATTGGAAGGGTATGAAGAAGGATGTCCAATTACATGTCCAAGCCTGTGATACATGTCAAAGGGCTAAAGGGGAAAATATTGCATCTCCAGGGCTCTTACAGCCACTTCCTGTTCCAGAGTATATATAGGAAGACTTATCCATGAATTTTATCACAAAATTGCCTAAAAGTGGTACTCAGTCTGTGATATTTGTGGTGGTTGACAGATTCTCAAACACAAAATTGCCTAAAAGTGGTACTCAGTCTGTGATATTTGTGGTGGTTGACAGATTCTCAAAGTATGCCCATTTCTTTGCTTTGGCACATCCCTCAGTCTGTGATATTTGTGGTGGTTGACAGATTCTCAAAGTATGCCCATTTCTTTGCTTTGGCACATCCTTACACTGCTTAGTCTGTTGCTCAGGTCTTCTTTGAAGGGGTATTCAAACTCCATGGAATGCCTAAATCTATAATTAGTGACAGGGACCCTTTGTTTACTAGTCTGTTCTGGAAAGAATTATTCAGGCTACAGGGAAGTCAACTCAAATTTAGCTCAGCTTATCATCCACAAACGGATGGACAGACTGAAATTACTAATAAGAATTTGGAATGCTACTTGAGATGTTTTTGTTGCCACAAGCCTAAGGAATGGGGTAAGTGGTTACCATTGGCTGAATTTTGGTATAACACCACTTGGAAAGTTTCCACCAATACTACTCCTTTTGAAGCTGTATATGGCAGGCCACCACCAACTTTACTTTCCTATGTTCCCAAGAGTTGCAAGGTTGAATCTGTAGATGAAGCTCTTTTCTCTAGAGATATATCCTTGCAGTTGCTGAAGGATAGTTTGATGAAAGCTGCAGAGCATATGAAAAGGTTTGCTGATAGACATAGGAGTTACAGGAGTTTTGAGATTGGGGATTGGGTTTTTCTTAAACTTCAACCCTACAGACAATTAAGTGTTTCCTCCTACAAAACTCATAAACTTTCTCCTAAGTATTATGGGCCTTACCAGATTCTAGAAAAAGTTGGTGAAGTTGCTTACAAACTGGCTTTACCCACTCATGCACAGATTCACCCAGTTTTCCATGTCTCCCAACTTAAGAAGAAGATAGGGACTGCAGTTACCCTTCAAGATAATCCACCGAGTTATACTACAGAGTTGGTTGATGAACCAGAGCAGATAATGGATAGGAGATCAGTGGTTCAAGGAAACAAATTGATATCTCAGGTTTTAATCAAATGGAAACAGCGATCATCTTTGGATTCTACTTGGGAGCCCTATTGGGATCATGTCAAGAGGTTTCCCACATTTGACCTTGAGGCAAGGTCCAATTTAAGGAGGAGGGAATTGTTAGGTTCTGAAGATCAATCTACAAACCTGACATGCACATTGAAGACTGGAACTGGTTGTGAATATGAAGAACTGATATGCAAGGCTAATATACGAGTGGAGGTCTATTGTGCAAATATTCAATCTATGAAGTGCTATAATAAATGTGTACATACGGTTATAACAGAATTGTGTTTCCTGTTATTCTGTTTACACTGTATGTGCACGTGCACAGAGTTGTACACACTTGTTCAGGGACTGAAGTGAACTGTATAAATAGAGAGTTGTAAGAAATCAAAACATAATGAGAATAATTCTGATTTCTTCTTCTCAAGTTTTCGTTCAACTTTCCTCTTCTTTCATTTCTCTTCCAATTCTATTTTTTGCACCTTTCCTTTTGTTTTCAGGTTGATTAATGGCTAGGAGTTCAGCCAGGAGGATCAACAGAGAAGCACGATCCTCACATCTCTCTCTCTCTCTCTCTCTCTCTCTCTCTCTCTCAAATTCCCTCAAGATCCAGGCGGAGGAAAGGAAAAGAAGAAATCGGTAAGATTACTACTCTTATCTCTTTCGATCTTCGATCTTTTGCTGGGAAAAGTTGCTTTTCCTCTCGGATCTCAGGGTTTGGATTGTCCCCAAATCTTAGGGTTTTGGAAGAAGGAGGAGGAGAAGAAGATGGGGCTGTCGTTCCGGAAGCTATTCAGCAAATTATTTGCAAAGAAGGAGATGAGGATCCTGATGGTGGGCCTCGATGCCGCCGGCAAGACCATCATCCTCTACAAGCTCAAGCTCGACGAGATCGTCACCACCATCCCCACCATCGGTAATCCCGTCTCCTCTCCTCTCGATCTTGGTTGAATTGAGATAGTAAAAAGAGTTTCTTTTCCTGATTTAAGTCGTGAGTTTTTATGCAAGAGCCCAGGTAACCTGAGATCTGAATTCAGTGCAATGTTGTGTTTTTGGGATCTTTGTGTTGTATTTAAGATCTGAACTTGATTTACCTAGGAATAACCCAAGGACATGTGATACTCCCTTAATCTACGCCATGGTTTTCAGCAAACGCCCTAATCTACGGTTATTAATGAATTCATTGGTTCTGTAGTAGAGTTTTGGTTCTTTCACGCTCCCAGGCAGACATCTAAGCCTACAGTTTGCTATTTGAAAACCTTCAGTTGTCCATTGCAAGATGTTTGTGAGAATTCTATTTTTTACGAGTTCCTAATCTCAAATTGCGGATATGATGGCTCTCTTGTTCATGAAAAGCTTGAAGACATATACCTTTCTTGCATGCGTCGTCTTAATTAAGAGTCATTATCACTATAGTAATTTATTTATCAGTGATTCAGTGTTTTATGATGTTCCACAGCATTAGCTGTAAATTCTTTGTCATATGAATGTTGGTTAATTCATTAGATGGTTTGTTTAATAGATTAGATATGCAAAATTTTCCTACGGACATGATTATTATATGATAGGTTTAATCAATCATTGTGCACAGAAAATTTTTTTCTGATAAACTTGGTCTATTAGTATTCAATAGACAGTGGTGTTCATGATTCACTGAGCTAACTATGTTTCTAAAATTTTTCCTCAGTAACCTATTTTGTCTAACAATAGATTTATAATGTATTAAACATAACATTTTCTAGCCTTTTCCCTTTCTTATAGTTTCCTTTTGCTAGGATTTTTCTTTTCTGAAGTTTCAAATAGTTAAGCTATAATGTACATAACCATTCAATTGAATCAGGAACAAGAGATTACTTTTCTGATTCCTGATACAATAACATAACACAGTGTCATACGAACACAAAATTTCATGATAAAGAAATATTACAATAAAATATAACATACCAAGAACCTAAAATTTTGAGTATAAAACTATATGATATGAAAAATTGTACCAGAAACATAAATTTGTTGATAGGAAAAGTTCTAACTTGATGCATGGCAATAAGCAAGGCAAATTGTTTCCACAAAAAAGGTCATGAAGCTGATTGCAGTGTAGCCGACACCTTTTACATGGTCGGATTTGGTGTGATTCAAAATTTCCTCTCTCAGCTTCCAAACTTTCATGAGCTCTGGTGGCTTTCGATTCTCGCTGCAGTCATGTCTTTAACTTACTCCTTCATTACCATTGCCCTCTCCATGACCAAAATAATTTCAGGTACCAAATTCATTATCTACATTCACAATAGAAATTTGTTCAAGTTTGTAGAAATGATTTTAAATATAAGCAGGAAACACCGGGAAGACCAGTATCACTGGCATTAAAGTTGGAGTTGATGTATATTCAGCTCAGAAAGTTTGGAAAGCATTTCAAACACTAGGAGATATTGCATTCACATGTTCCTACTCTATGCTTCTAATAGAAATCCAGGTCTAAAATTTTCTAGATTCATGTCTGAATATAGTCCCACTCTGAAGTTAAATAAATAAACAGGTTAATAAATCCTCAAGAAAGTGTAACTATAGGAAGTAACTTAAGTATAAATTTAGGAATATATACCCCATACTTCAAGATTTTAGACTAATTTTGGTCCTCAGTTATGTTTAAGGTCCATTTAATTCTCAGACAGTCCAATTAGTATGAGTATGGTCCCACAACGGAAAGATTTTGACAGTTAGACTAATATCTAACAACTTATACTTTCTGGTTAATTTGGTTGTCAATCTATATTTAACTTGCACTCAAATCTCAGAGGGGTTCAATTACTCCCCATGATAAAATTTGATCATGATTCTAAATTAATTATTCTTGTTATCAACTCAGGACACTTTGAAATCACCTACAGCAGAGAACAAGGTAATGAAGAAGGCTAGCTTTATTGGAGTATCAACAACCACCACATTTTATTTCCTTTGTGGTTGTCTCGGTTATGCTTCATTTGGAAACAAAGCACCAGGAAATATATTGACTGGTTTTGGATTCTATGAACCCTTTTGATTGATCAACCTTGCCAACATCTGCATCATTATCCATTTGGTTGGTGCATTTCAGGTAATTCTCATGTTTAATCTGTCATATTGAACAATTTGAGGTCTTAAAATATGTTCATGACTATATATAGTCTACCGATCTATTCAACAATGAAACCACCAGATACACTGTTTGCAAAGTTCTACTATCTTATTCAAATGTCTAGTAGTATATCAGCTTGCTTTCAGTTACAGATACTTGTATTTTCTGACATGCGTATCATTATTTGTTATGTGCATTTTGTATACTTATCATGTTTGATATGCCATATTGAACAAATTTCAGATTTTTCCTCTGTAATTACCCATACCGAGAGATATTTTCAACACTCAAAGTAGACGTCTGATATATCAGTTATTTTCTAGGCTCTATTTTGTAGTAGTACGTAGCAGTATTTCTGTAGACTACCAGTTGTAGATACATGTATTAAAGTCAGGCAATTGCTATTATCTGCATCATTATTAATTTGGTTTGTACAATATTTCAAGTAATTACCATGTTCAATATGTCATTGAACAAATTTGAAATTTTTACTATCTAATTATTCATAAGCATAGATTGGATGGCTTCAATAGTAAAATGAGAGTACTATATAAAACAAAGTAGATATCTGATATATGAGTATTTGTCAAACTCTATCATCTTATTCGTGAGTAGCAACATATCAGTTTGCTTCCAACTATAAGTACATGCAGCAAGGTCAGACAAAATTGCCAACATCTACATCATTATTCATTTTGTTGGTTCATTTCAGATAATTATCATGTTTCATATGTCAAATTAAACAAATTTCAGGTCTTCATTATGTAACCTCTCATAACTATATCAGTATTTTCTATCATAAATTCTAACTATTTGATTTGTAATACCTCGGCCAGGTATTTTTCCATCCAAATTTTTCAGCAGTTGAGACATTGATCGCCAGAAGGCACCCAAACATAAAATTTCTGACCAATGAAAAAATAGGCCAAACTGTTTGTCACAGGAGAATCTTGCTAGGATATTTGCATACTTGAGACGTTCAGGCTTGTCCCAAGAGGACATTCTTCGAGGAATTTCTTTTGTTCCTTGACTGGATGGATTAGGCCACTATTATCTTATATTTTGGATGTATGAGACATTTTGGGTATTAGAGACAAATATATAATGTTGGATGCTTTTTATTGTGAGATATTGGGTAATCATTATGTATGTATCTCAAATATTATATATTGAATAATCATTGTGTATGTATGTATAATATTGGATATTTAGCACTGGTTGAGATATTTTTGTATATGTATAAGTTTCTGATTTCATTGTGAGATATTGAGTAATCATTATGTAAGATGTGTATATTATAAACGTAAGTAGGTAAATAAATAAAATAGTTAAAATGCAAAAATATTAAAATTAACAGGACAAACGGTTGAAGTATATTATAAATGTAAGCATGTAAATAAATAAAATAGCTGAAATGCAAAAATATTAAAATTAACAGGCCAAACGGTTTCAACCGTTTGGCCAGATACTTGTCCAAATGGTTGAAACTGTTTGGCCAAATATTTGGCCAAACGGTTTTAACCGTTTGGACAAGTATCTGGCCAAATGGTTAAAACCGTTTGACATATATTGCAGTCCCAAATGGTTACAACCGTTTAGGATACAGTCCAAACGGTTGAAACCATTTGGGCACTCGTTTGGGTCTTTGTCCAAACGGTTATAACCGTTTGGGCTGCTATTGGGACAAATTCATCCCCAACGACTTTAGCCCAAATTAACGGTTCTTTTTTTTTTGTCCAAATGGTTACAACCGTTTGGAACACTGTTTTCCCAAACACGTGCCTCCAATTTTGTACTAGTGTATAAGGGAAAATTAAGCGTAAACATGGGTCATGGCCTTTAAACACGTGCCTCCAATTCATAGTCCTACTTAATGTGCCAATTACAAAGCTGGTTAATGAAATTAAATTTCTTAAGGCGAAAAATCGCTCGCTCGCGATCGCGCGCGAAAAAGAGAGAGAGAGAGAGAGAGAGCGCGCGACGAAGAACGACGATGGAAATTGACAACGATGTCGTCACCTCCGGTGAGATTGTGGGCGACTCCAACCAGCAAATCGCCGCCACATCCACGCTTCGCTCACCAGTTACTGCACCATTGACAAGGTTCGGGTTTAGATTTTTCATGTCAGAATTAAGGGTTTTCAAACTAGAGTAGTTTCCATAAATTTTCCTTTTAAACTCTCTGCAGCAATCGAATGCACAAGTCATTGGTTATACGTCTCACGGTGCAGTCCATGAGCAAGCATCCGTCGTCATCGCTCGAGTACTAATTAATTTTCCTTGAGATTTAGCGTATTCTTTTTGAAAATTTTGTGAAATGGAATATCGATCATTTTGGATCTTTTGATTGGTTAACTTACAGATGACCAAGGTGATGGTGAGAATGTGTTCGGTGGATCTAATGTCAGTGTAGGATCGAAATCGATCAGTTTTCACAAGAATGATTAGGTACAGTTATTGCAACACTTATTTTTGAGAATTATCTTTAGGGTTTGTCCGATTGGGGGTACTATGAGCAGAAGTGACGTAGCGCGAAAGTGATAAGCTCGGAATCAACCAATGAGTGTTCTCTGAATCCACAAAGAACGATCTTCGAATTCACGAAGAACTTCGAATCCACGAAGAAAATATTAAAAGAGAAATTTTATTGATGAAAAGTTATTATTCTCCTTTGGAGTTACATGACTCTTCTTAAATAGAAAAATAAATAAGACTCCTGGTAAGACTAGAATTACAATGAAATAGAAAGTATCAAATTCTATCCTAAAAAATACTTCCTATAATAGAGAAAACAAATCATGAATCAAAATTAAATCCGTTTCCTAATCTAATTGGACTCTAATATTAAATTTATTTCCTAATCTAAATAGACTCTAATTTTTATTACTAAAAAAACTAGAAGCTGATTATTTTTGGATTTCAGCCAAAATTGGGTATTACTGATGAGATTTTAAAAATATAACAATCTGGTTAGCTCCGTCTCGTCGAAATAGGTGATTTACATATATAATATGTCAGAATTCGCCTATCAGATTGAAAAATATGATTGTTTCTTTGTAGAAGTTAATAATACGTGTAGCTCGTGATTCTCCTCCATGAAATTTTCCGTTAAGTGTCCTACATCAGTCTCCCTTGTTGAAAGAAGCTCGACTCCGAGCTTATATTTGTTAGAATAATAGCTTTATTGATAAATAATTTTTTCTTTTGCAACGATCAGCATCCGCCTTGTATTTAGTATTGATTTTCTCCATTTGTTCTTTTACCTCCTTTGCTAGGACTTCTTTTGTGTCAAACTTGTGTATGAATCTTTTCCATGACATGTATATGTAACTGGCAGCATGTGGCTCTGTAGTCAACATGAAAAACTCCTCCAAATATTTTCCTTATTGCTTCCCACATTCTAGTGTCGACGGTATCATCTCACCATTGTTAAAATTATTGATGACTATTGCTTCAAAAAAATAATTTTGTTCCTCATACTCCATACACAATTCTTTAATCTCCTTTATCTCAAGCTCTCCATCAAGCAATACACACATACCATCAATTGTCTCGTTTTCTATTTTATCCTTCTCCTCCATCGGGATAATATCAATATGTGTAACATCACTCACAATACCATGTAGAATATTTATCTTCATTAACATATCATCATCAATATCTGGAACCTCAGAATGAATCTTGATGGTGGCAAAATCTTTCTTTTCGGGGGGTGAGCGTCTTGTTGTTTGCCGCTAGAGAAGCCTTCTCCTTAGCAATCTCTATCCTAAATGTCTTCGGTTCTTTAATTGACATAATTGATGAAGTCTTTATTGGTGCTTCCTCGGTGCTCTTCACAAATCCAGACTCTTTCTCATGGATGAATTGAGCTTTCTTAATTTTCTCATAATCATAACTAGTTTGATAACTCTCTAAAAACATATGATAAAGGTCGTATGTCATTCTGCTCAAGTTCTCACTCCACCTTCTTCGCTAGACGGACCGTAGCGGCTAAGGTAAAAGAATCTTTTAAAGACACCTCACATTGCTTGTAGTTAGAAGGTAAGAAATGGTCTCTGAATAATTTCTTTATCTTTGCCCACGTTCGAACCAGATCCTTCCCTTGATGGTATTGATTTATCAGTACTTTATCCCACCATGTAGTTGCTTTTTCTTTAAGCCTGTAGGCCACTAATTTAACTTTTCAATCTTTTGAGATTATATTTGTAAAACCCCAAAAAATTTAAATATTTTGTGATAAATAATAATAAATATGTTATATATTTATAAATAATATATTATGATGTTTGAGTATGCTAGGAATTGGTTTGAGATCAATTCAATGTATATATGTATATATATAAGAGCAAATGCACAATTCATGCTCGATGTATAAATCTGAAAATTTAAGACCAGCGGAGAAATTTTATATTTTCCTCATAGATGTAGTTGGAATTTGGAAAAACTTAAAAGATAAAAGTTGTAGGTATCTTCAAGATATTTCTAACAAATCTTAGATCACCTCATTCTGAGATCGGACGTGAAAGTTATGACCAAAATACCGAAGGTTATTTTCCTAGTCAGATTAGGATTCTTGGTTCGGGTCAAACGGGTTTATTTCGGGTTTGCATATATATATAAACATGTGTTTTTACAAAAATTAACATTCTTACATCAGAGTTTCAAACCCTAGCACCCCTTCTTCCTCTCTCTGAATCCCTAGCCCTAAAGTTGAGAATTTTGAGAGCTTTGTGAAGCAAATATCGACATGAGGACGAGATCATCAAGTGTAGCAAGGGGAAAACGGCTTGGCTGTACTTCTTTTTAGTTGCTGGTTATTTTAGAGGCTTAGAACGATGTCTAAGGAAAGATTATCTTCATCCAAACCCTTCCCCATAGTTAAATAACTAGTTAGATGTTTAATATGATGTTGAATATGTGTTTTCATACTTGAATCTTAACATGATGTGATAAAAGTTAAATTTTTTGATGTTAAAACATAAACCAATGCTAGATTAGTAATTTTTTTTCTTGCTGTTTATGATAGCATCATGATCATGATCATTAGGATTTTTCATAATTTCATTTATATATGAGAAATTTAAGAGATGTACTAAATAAATATTTTCTGCAGAAAACTGCAGCAATTGTATCATGTTTAACTGGGATTTTAAAATAGAAAATAAACTCCAAATTTAACCAAACCAGTGCCAAATGAAAGATACATGTATCTAGTTTCTAAAACAGAATACTAATCTTAAAAAGAGTTTGTATAGAGAAATATATGTTATATTTACTAACAATATATCCTGCAGAAAAATGGATGCACATATATAAATTTTAGCTGGAGATTTGGGATAATAAATGAACTACAAATTGAACCAAACCTATGTCATTTGAAAGATGTGTGAATCTAGTTTTCAAAACAGAAAACCATTTATAAAAATAGTTTTCCTAGAGAAAGATATGTTTGTTTTACTAACAAATGTCACGTCTATTTTTCCTGCTCGTTTTGTGGACCTGTGTTGCGCCGTTTTGAGGTGCGTTCGCGGAGTTTTGAGCCGCTTGATGTTATACGTATAGTCATGAATATGTTATGTTATATATTTAAGAATCTCAAAGGGATTATGATGAATTTTGATTTGATCATATTTGAATTAGATATAGTTCATATACATGTTGGATGTCGTAGATGAGCATAGCTCAGTACTATATGGGATAGTGCGTCGACATACCAAATATACATGGTTTATACATGAGCTGAATGTTGTTGATGAGCATAGCTTAGTACTATATGAGATAGTGCGTCGACATACCTGAGATACAAAGATTTATATGAGGTGGATATCGTTGATGAGCTCAGTTCAGTACTACATGAGGTAGTGCGTCGATATCCCATATATACAGGCCATTGAGTCGGATTTTAGGAGGCTTGATCTAGCCGTCCGTCCCGCACTAGGGAGCGATGAGGCTCGTGAGCCGTATTTCTAGGATGCCTATTTGGTAGTCCGTCCCGCACTCATGTTATGCACTTAGATCGCGATGAGACTAATGCGCCGTGTACACAGTTCAGTATACCTACAAGACTAATGAGCCGTGTACACAGTTCAGTATACCTACAGGATAGTCCGTTGCACTGAGACAGTTACTTGATAGCCTAAGTATGGTAGATGT